TTTTTCATTTTTCACATCAATACACGCATCTTCTATATCTATAGCTGTGTTTCACTGTATTTTAACACAACTATAACCATTCCACAATGAATACACATTTGCATTTTTTCACTTTTCACTAATCCAAAATGATGCAATAAACATCTTAAGTCTTCTCATACATAGGCAAATATTCTTCTAGGACAATTTCTTACAAATTGCTTAGAGGGGACTCAAAGTCTATAAATATTTGAAAGTAGTATAAAGGGCTGATGAGCTCTTATAAAAGATTTACCGAGGGACTTCCCTGGTGACGCAATGGTTAAGAATCCACCTGCCAATGCAGGGGACACAGGTTCAAGCCCTGGCCTGGAAAGATCCCACATGCCGTGGAGAAACTAAGCCCGTGCACCACAACTACTGAGCCCGCGAGAGACAGCTACTGAAGTCCACGCACCTAGAGCCCGTGCTCTGCAACAAGAGAAGCCACTGCAATGAAAAGTCCACATACCACAACAAAGAGTAGGCCCTGCTCACTGCAACTAGAGAAAGCCCACATGCAGCAACGAAGACCCAACACAGTCAAAAATAAATAAATTTTAAAAAAAAACCCTTGTATGATAAACATGGCTTAAAATATAATTCAAATGCCTGTTACATTAATAATATATTTAATTTTTTCAATATGAGGACAAAATAAATGCTGTACTTTTTTTGTCAGCTGTCTTTCTAACACAACCTAGATAAAAATAGCTCCTAAATATCCCTGACTGATCTGCTAAACGGAATGATTCCTCTCCCAGCGTCATTTGATGCTGCTTGCATTAATTCTGGCATCAATCTTACTATACTTTCAGAGACTTTGGAGATAAATGTTTGGCCCACCTCACAGATTCATTGTCAACAGTGAAGATATTCTACCAAAACACTTGGTGAGATACATAAATACAAGTTATTAAGAAAAATCAGAACAAGTCATGATTTAGCGATGGTTCACAACTTGTGAAAACAAAACCTGTGTCCATCTTCCAACAGCGATGACTACACTGTAGTCCCTCTGGAAACCAACCTCAACATGGGAGCCTGGGAACTGAACAGTCCACGGGCTACATACGTGGCAGGCTAGGAGCCTAGCACCAACAGCAGGCCATCAGGAGGCAGCAACAGGTCAGTGATAGCAAGAGTCAGCCCACTGGCCACATCTGGCCGAAAAGCTTCTGAGGTGTTCTGATTTATCAAAATTGCAATTTTGACAAGAAAAATCACAACTAGCCTTTCTGACATATACATATATACACCTACATACATACATATATATATATTTATACATACATACATATATATATGTATATATATATCTGTTCATCCTGAATGGCCTATCTTTGAAAGATACAAGTGACCTCTGAAGACAGGTACTGGATGGCTAGTCACATGGAAAGGGAAGACTTTTCACCTGGAATCTGTAACAATTACGTTTCCTACCGAAGAGATTTAAAAACTGGATTTTTATCAAATTCTTTTAAAAAATCTATATTCTGGAAAAGCACTTTATTTTTTTCCTTCTAAGTTTATTCTGCATAACTAAGGGGAAAAAAAGTTATTTTAGTTTGGTATTTTAAAGTCAGGCCACATTTACCTCTATCAAAGTAACCCATCCCGTGCACCACAACGAAGAGTAGCCCCCGCTCGCCACAACTAAAGAAAGGCCTCACGCAGCAATGAAGACCCAACGCAGCCAAAAATAAAATTAAAAAATAAATAAATAAACCCATGCACATCTAAATACTACTAATATATATATATATGTTAAAAATTTTAAGGCAGGGTAAATTTTATGGCTTGTGAATTATATCTTAAAGCCATTATTTTAAAAACCTTTTTATGGTAAACTCTCCCTAACACCCAGAGGTACCTGCTTAGCGCTCCACAAAGCAGCACTCACTGTGTGGCAGGACCACACCTTACGCAAGTAGCCCCCACTAATAAACAGTTCCAGTACATCCTCCTCTTTTTACTTCAGTCTTTTACTTTCACAAAAAAAGCTGCAATGGGCACCTTTTCTGTGTACCCATTAACACACATCACTAAGATACAGTCCCAGCAGAGTTCTGGAACAAGTGTATACAAGCATTTGACATGCTGAGAGCCACCTGACAAGACTGCCCTCCCACAAACACAGCTGCTCCAAGTCACCCTTCGTTCTTCAGGACAGGAGGCCTCCTCCGTAGGTTTACAGCACTAGCCATCAAACATTTCAACATGAGCCATCTGTTAGGTCAAATATGATTTTTAAGGAGTTAAAGGGCAGGTGGTTACCTCTTTAACAGGAAAAGGTATTCCTGCAAATGGTAAATTTTCACAATACAAAAAGGTCTCGTGACCCACTTGAGTCCTCCAACTAAGACAAGATGTTCATAATCTCTTGGTTTCTTCTAAAACTACTCTGTACATCTAGGCACGTCAATGAGTATAAATGTCCTTCCTTTTTAAAAACCACACTATAGAAGCCATCATATCACACTTGCTTTTCCTCTTTATCTCGAAGATAATTTCACAACAACATACACTGAACTACACTGAACTCAATCCTCTTTCCATAGCTATACATCATTCCATTGTAAAGAAGAGCAATGACTTAGCCAAGCCCTCACTGGAGAAGCCTACAGGGTTCTGGCTTTCTGCAGCTCTAATGCTACAGGAATATTCTGGAGCAAACTTATCTTTGTACATATGCAAAAGTATCGGTCAGATATACTCTCAGAACTAGCACTGCTGGGATGTGCTTTCACATCTTCAGATGCTCAATTATCCAGGAGGTGTATCAGGATTACTTAACTCTCCATCTCCTTAGCTCTGAGTGAGGGTGAGTATCTGCCATAGGATTAGATGCCTACCAGAAAGTGTCCTTTTCTATCCTTTGCCCATTTTCTATTCAGCTATTGTTACGGTTCTTCTAAATCATGATGAATTCTATATACAAAGGATACTTGCCCTTTGTCATACGTGCTGCAAATATTTTGTCCCACTTGAATTGTCTTATTTTATGTACAGGAATTTTTGATATGCTAATATTTTAAGTCCCTACTCAGAAAAATGTATCCATCTTTCCCTTATAGCTTCTAGGCTTTACAACATGTCAAGATGACAGAACAAAATTCTCTTTTGGGGGATCCAACCTGGTTTTTCCCCCAACTAGCTAATCCATAGTTCCTAATAGTGTTCATTGAAAAACTCACCTCCACAGTGGCTGAACACATGCCTTTCATAAAATACTAAATTACCATATATGTTTCAGTCTTTCTGTAGTCTAAATTTCTTCTATTCATCTATTCTTCAGCATAAATTCAGGGCATTTAAATAGTACACTGACATTCTCATGTAGCAGAAATGCTTAGATGTGTGAATCCAAAAAAATTATGTTACTAAAATTGAAAATTTAACCTATACATCTGTGTATCTAACTGTTTCTGATATCTCAAGGTAATGGTCTCTTTACATAAGCGTTTTTCAGGTACTGAAGAATTTAAACTCACAATAAAGAAAACTTTCATCTCCAAGCCCCATCTATTAGTTGAGCTGTTTGTTGCTAAAGGCATTTTTAGTTAATTCAAAGATTCAATGCTGATGTTGAAGACTGTACTTGAAAAAGAAATGATAATTTTAATCACTTTTTAAGATTACTGATTTAAGTAGAATTGACTCTAGCTATAATATATCTCTAAAATGTCCATTGGCAGAAAAAAAAAGTCTTTCCTTGGTTTTGCTTTTCTCTGACTTCCTCCCACCAAGCTCAGTGCCTTCCCAGTCTTCACTGAGGAACCTGAATGGCATCAAACCCCTCACTGACCTCTGGTCAAACCAGGGATGGAGGACTTGGAAAAAGAAAAAACTAACAGAGTGACTGCATGGGAATTCCCTGGCAGTCCAGTGGTTAGGAATTGGCGATTCCACTGCAGGGGACCTGGGTTCAATCTCTGGTCAGGGAACTAAGATCCCACAAGCAACACAGCACGGCAAAAAAAAAAAAATCTAAATAAATAAATAGAATGGAGTGACAATCATGCATTCTCAATGGGGACAGGGATGAAAACTTGTCATGAAGAGTGAAAAAAAATCTTAGATATTACAATGGTCTGTGGCCTGAAAAGGATCACATAAACTGATATGCTGGGTATCTGTGGTACCAAAATTTCATGGCGGGGAAGTAGACAAGTTATGGGAAAAGGTCTAAAAAAGGCTCCTTTGGGAGGCAAAAATGACAATAAAGTTATGAAATGACATTTTATAACCACTAAATTGCAAAAATTTAATGGTCTGACAATACCAAATGTTAGTGAGGATGTGTACACTGCTATTAGGGCTGTAAACTGATACACTTTCTCAAACAGGGAGAAAAAAGAAAAAGACAACATTACAGATCTTGCAAGAATAAACGTGCCTCTCCTACAATCCAGCAATTCCTCTCCTAGGAATATACCCTAGATAAACCGTTGTACACGTGCACCAAAAAGTTATTCAAGAACATTTATAACACTGTTCATAATAGTTTGAGAATAAAAAATCAAAAAAAGAAACTAGTATCAACCCAATTGTCTATGAATACAAAATGGATAGTTTGGGGAATACTCAAGCAGCAATGAAAACAAACAAACCATACTCAACAAAATATGTAAACTGGAACATAATACTGAAGGAAAAAAGTTATTAAAGATTACCTATGCTATGAAACCATTTTTATAAGACTCAAAGAGAAGAATAAACACAATGTCCAAGGAATCATAAAATATGTAATAAGAAACATTTTTAAAGAAAATGATACATACAAAACATAGAACCGAATAGGGATGACATACACACAGACACAAATCGGTACTGGCCACGTTCTAGCTCCCAGCCAGAGAGTGGTGGAATGACATCTATTTCATTATTCTGCTTCATAACTTACATAGGTTACATTATTCTTGTTAGTGCAGTATTTGGCTCTTCACAGTAGGGAATAATTAACACAAAATAAAACTTACATCCAATTCAAAAAAGAGGTCCCTTTCTTTACTTGCAATCTCATAATCTGCTCGGAGGGCCAAATCGTGGATTTTGGTACATTCTCCTAAATCCATGCGCTGTGAGAAAGAAACAAAAATTTACACATGAACATCTACCCATTTGTAGGAAGCACCGTGACCTGGTGTTTTAGCTGTGATCAAAATAAACTACTTTTTTGGATATTAACTATGATAAGAAAAATTAAAAAATAATATGGCTAAGAAGGCTTATTTTCCTTTTATTGATACCATCATGACTATATGACACTCAGAACAGGTGCATTTAAGTGTAATGATTTATATCTCTTACAGAACCAGAAATAGACTAGTAATGTTTTCATTATTTAGCTTTTGCCAGTTTTATTATTGCATTAGTCACATAAGAAATGTTTATTCAGTGAATAGCAACATGAGGGGTGAGAGGGTGGCAAGGAAGAGGCCAGGAAACAAAAGTATCACTGATAGCAGCAAGTTTCCATGCATTCCTTCTTGCAGCCATGACTACTCAAGATGCTACAGAGACAAAAAGAGGAAAAAGAAAGAACAGAGAAAAACGAGGTTTTGGAAATTAACAACACAACCTAACACCTGGCTTTGTGTAGCTCTTTGTATACCAAAGGAAATAAAGCAGAACAGGCTGATTCAGAGCCAAAGCAATTCTCCAAACATTCTCCTAACCTGCTAAATGGCTCTGGACATGTAACTGGGAATACAGACTGGACCATTCACTTGCCCCATTTGAAAAACAAAAGGCTCTTTTAACAAAACAAATTATTTGTGTTACCAGTAAGATATCGCCTGATGTGCTATTACATGTTGTGAGCACGTACAGAACAATTAGCAGTGCATATTTCTCATCTAAATCCTAAGTAGAGGATCCTGTACAGAGACACCCCCACCCCCACTCTTGCCTCTGATCATCTAAACAGCAACAAGGACGTTTGGATGCTGAGGGTCAGGCTAATAAGTCAGAGAATGCAAGTTAAGAAAACCCAACAGCCCAATGAGGAGACACCTCGGGAACCCAACGTGTTGGTCACAAGTACAACTAGCAAACAAAGAATGATGGAATTCAGGAACTCCTTTAAGCTCAAACTACAAGTGTGTTCAAAACGAGATCAAAAAAATCTTCATGGGTTACAAAACCCTCAACATTTTAGTTTTTAGGCACATGAGAGAGGCTCGCAGTGCCTGACTCCTGGGTCCAAATCTCAGAAAGTGCAGCCATGCTCTTAACAAAATTTCCTTCAGTATCCCAGTGACAGAGCCATGAGGGGACTGTCTAGGGTGGAGTTTACCTTCATTTTGACTGAAGGCTACATGCCAAAAGCTCTCTTCTCCTTCATTATGCTTACTCCGGCGTCATGTGTAGTTTACACATGTTGGTTACGTGGGGAATCCAGAGGTAGGGAAACAAGTTCCAAAAGCCAAAGTTGCAGCTAAAATTGCTATTGCTGTAAAGCTGACAACTTTTGCTTCCTTCACTCTTTTAAATAGCAAGTATAATTCTTTAAAAATATATAGCCTCCACAAACAAAACTAAGTGCAACAGCTGAAAAATGAGAGAGCGCTATCAGAAATTATTTAAAAGCTAACAAAATTGTTACTCAAAGAAAAACCACCTCCAGATGAAGCAAGCACCGAAACCGCTGAGTACTATAATTTTAACTGCAAATCAATTTCCATTCTAAAAACTTCAACTGTCAAGAAAATTTCGACATTAGGGAACCACACATAAAGCAAAATTCACCATTATCTTCCTTCAGATGGGAGCTCTCAAGCTAAAGCAAGTGGAAGACAGGCCTGGGGTTCCATGGTTACTCTGGAGGTAGCTTTTCAGCTTTGCCAAGGAGGCAAGGAAGTACTGGCCAATTCCCCTAGCAGCCAAACACCAAGCACAGCTGAAATACCACACTCATAAACTTCCAAAATATTCCAAATGGCGGTCAAATCCAGCATGTCAGACCCCCCTTTTTTTTTTTTTTTTTTACTGAACAAATATCTGTGTTCTCTACCCTCCAGTGGTCTCACACTGCAGACAGGGAAGGGCAAATAAAGGCTCCTTCTAGAACCTTCAGGAAACCAAAGTTCTTCCACGAGACAAGTTACACTACCTTCCCTCCAGCTATCCCTCCGCTCTTACTAATCAATACATTTTCCCATCAAACCTCAATAAAATGATTGCTTCCGTTCCTCTGTTGTCTCACCCCTACTGACAGGAGACAGTTTTGAGCAAAAATTTGGGTGTGGAGCAGCCCTTGGCAAGCTGAGGGTTATAACCATTTTCATCTTGCAGCTGTGTTCTAAAGAATTATATTCATTCCAATTTAACACAACACAAACTCTACCTCTCACTTGCCACCTCCACGTAGCCCACACCAGTTAAGGCTCAACCTTTACAACACCATCCAAGTTCCCAACCCTCATCTCAACTGACCTCACGACCCCGCACACTTGTTCACGGCACCCTCACGTGAACATGGGTCTCCTGGGCTCCCTCCTCCTCAGTCTGAGCTGTCCTGTAACCCACACGGGATGGAGTGATGCTGAGCAGTCCTTGGCCTCTCATCACTGCTCTGGTTCCACAGCCTCTGTCTCCCTCCCCCTGAAGCACACCAGCCCAGAGGCACCTGAGGCACCCCTGCTTCCCTCTGCTCTAGCATCCACCTGGAGCATTAATCCCCCAAATGCACACGTGTGTTTTTTCTCACCATTCAGGTCTCTGCTCCCATGTTCCTGAGAGGCCTTTCCTTATCACCCTATCCAACAGTCCAGAACCTACTCATTCATTATTTACTGTCTGTCCTGTTCCTCCATTAGATGAGAGTAAATATTTTGTCTTATTGGTACCACATCCCCAGTGCCTGGCACAGAGTACGTGTCCAACAAATATCTGGCAAATGAACCTATACCTAACACAATAAACATTTGTAGGAAATGCCCTCATTCACCAGCATTCTGGAACAATGCTACATAGGGATCCAATCAAGAAAAATATGGTTGAACTGCTTCACTCTGGTGCATGTCCCTCTACTCCCTTTGACTTCTTCCACTAAGACCTACCAGCAATTCCAGGTTATGATGCCTCATACAGGAGTATCCTACCACTGACTGCTTATGACCAGTGGAAGCCAGTAGTCTACAGTAACGGCACCCACAACAATCTGGAGCACACAGTAGTTATAATGTTTTCCTATACCAGGTCAACCGCCGGCGAAACCCCAGCTAACAAAGGCACAAGGCTTGGCTTTCATTTCCTATTTGCTGTCAGAAGAGCCAGCTTGACAAGATTCAATACACCTGTGCAGTTTGCCAGACGCTGCTCCTCCAAAATGGTAATAATAAAAGCAACAATTAATTATGAAGAAAACGTTCCCCAGCACATGCACATGTGACCCTTAAAATGAGAAGACATTCCAGGAGGGAGCTGTGAAATCTGAAAATGCTGATGGTGTTTACAGAACTAATTTTCTATAAGTGGCTGAATCACCGTGGATAATCCACACTCTTTAGTCTTCTCAAGTCCTACCTAATTTTGAATAAATGCACATTCTGCAAAATTAGCATTTATCTGTTTGGTTCATCTGAAATTAACTTAAAGTTTCACTTAGAATTTTACACTTCACTTAGAAGTAGAGAGATCTATATTTATTGGATCATGTATTGATTTCGTGAAAGGGTGGCACAACACAAAATTGCAAATCGATGTTAGTCCAGATTTTTCAAAAACCTAAAAATCTGGGGAAGAAATATACCTCGTTAGATCAAAAGTCTAACATGTGTTTAACCTGAAAACAAACCAACCCAGAATCTTAGAGCTACAGGCTGACCTGAAGTACTGTTTTTGCTAAAGCCAAAGGAGACTAGTATCTGCACTACTTAGGTGTGAATACCTCAGTATAAATGACTCTACAAAAACCTGATAACTTTACAAAGAGAACTTTATAGAACTGAAATATGTCATTATATAAAATTCTACCACACTAACAGAACCTATCACTTGAAGGGCAGTAGGTAATTTCTGCCTGGTAAAGGAAAACAGAATTCAACCTGAAAAACCTTCAGTGCCTACACAGCATGAGTGTCCTATGACATCCCCCCCAAATGTACCTACCGTCCCAGCCAGAATGTCATGGGGGCAGCAGTCCAGAAGGTGACTCTTGCAGACACGGTCATCTGTAAACTTGACCCTCTGTCTGGTTTCGTCTCCTGAAATTCATGTGTGGTTTTAAATAAGACAATATTATCACATTAAGCACAAAAGCATATCTGGTACAATTCACCTGGATGATTTGCAGACTACCAAATACACTGAAAAGCTGATCTAGAGGTATTTACAACTGGAACGACATACAGATGATTTCTGATGCTAAATATATCATGAAGAATCACACTTAAAGAGATCTGACTCCGTCACTGTGCCAAGGAAGTCAAGGAGTCAGAAGGAAAATGCTGAGCACCAAACAGCCATTAGCCCCACACATACACGTGGGCAATGAGATACCAAAACCCATGCTAATCAGAGGGCGATGAATCACCATGTATGACTTAAAGCTGGTAGTTTCCAACAAAAGCTATTTATTAGTCTAATCATTTTGCTATAGACCAACGTATAGGCAGTATTTTGCCAAAATTATATGAAGAAAGCTTTCTCTCTCTACTACTGACTGATAAATAATCTGAACCTAGTCTACCTATCCCCCTTTAACCCCCACCCTTAAAAAAGACAGTTGGCACCTGAGAGTCACTTTAACAAGACAATACCAAGAAGAAAAAAAAAAAGGCAAAAAAGGAACTAGGTTAGTCAATACACACTGTGAGTTCCAACACATACTGTACCCATCTGCATTCTTCAAGACCTCAGCTGCAGAATTTTATGCCCGCTGTTGAAAAGTTTTAAAGGAAAAGTTTTCTTGCCCAACCTGCAGTAAGGAAGTCAGGGGAATGATACATAAAAGTAAAGGCAAAGTGGAATGTGACAAATTTTAAAGCTAATCTGTGTATATGACACAGAGCTGTGTAATACTAAAGGAGGAATATATTTTAGGATTTGCAAGCATCCAGGATTAATGTAGTGTCTTTTTATTGAAAATGTTTTCTTTCTAAACTACACTTTTAAAGTTACTTGTGAAAAAAAGCAAACACTTTTTTGTTATAACAGCTTAGAAATTGGTTGTGACTCACGGCTCGATGAACATGAGGCTTTTCTGCAACTCCCTTGCAGATTGATGTAGGCAGGCAAAGATACACTGAACCTTTATAAATAAAATAGAGGGGCCACAATTGTTCAGTTTGTATGAAATAAAAATATGGGAAGCAATTCAAAAGCAACTCAATATACAAAGAAAGCTAAAAAGCACTTATTCGCCTATGAAATAAAGTGCAAACAATCTGCACAGCCCTGCGAAAGTGCCAGTGTGAACTTACAACTTCATTACTTCGGTAGAAAAGAAAACACAAACCACAGCAGGTATATAGTTTTGCAAAGATGCAACCGCTTTCTCCTGAGACAACCATCATGATCTTGCGCTCCTCCCTACAGTACAACCTACCTAACGACTGCCAAGCGCTGGCTAAACAGAGGCTTTCCTGTGTGGCTAGAGGAAAAGGGGGCTGGAAAAGCACGCGGCAGGAACCCACGTTAGAAAAGCTCAATTTACGGCTCCCCTTGCAACGGTACAGAACAAGACGGCCAGGGTTTCCAGGCCATCCGGCTCCCTTGCGCGGAGGAGCTCCGCCAGCCCGCTGCCAGCGCCCAGAGCCCCCGCTGGCTGCAGCCCTTCGCCGACTCCCAGTTCGAGGGGCGGCGGGGGCCGCGGGGGTGGAGGGGGCGCGGAGAAATCGCAGGATGGTCAGCGGGGAGGGGGCTGGCGCCCCACCGACGACGCGGGCTCCGAGGGAGGAGCCCGCCGGGGACCCAGCCTGCGAGAAGAGCTCAAACAAAGGCCCGGCGCCCCCGGTCGGCGCGCGGGGGAGGGGAGGACGCCCGCGCAGGCGCAGACAGTCGCGGCCCCCGGCCTCAGGCCGCCCGGCGGCCTCGCCTCGCTCCCGCCCCAGCCCCCGCCTGGCCGGCCGCCCCTACTCACCGTCCCGGGCCGTGCCCATGAGCTGGTCCAGCAGGGCCCGCATCTGCGCCTGGGCGGACATGGTGGCCGGAGGGAGCGGCAGGAGGGGCCGCGACAGCTTCTCTCAGACTGCGGCAGCGGCGGCGGCGGGGGCGGCGGCGGCAGCGCGGCGGCAACGAAGAAGGGTCGTGTCGGCCTCGAACCCGTTCGGCTTCTTCCCGCCGCGAGGCACGCCGGGAGGAATTGCGTCGGCGCCGGCGCTTGGCCTGCTGGGAAATGTAGTTTAGGGGCGGAGCCAGAGTCTCCGATGAACAAGCAAGCTGTGCAAGGGGCGGAGCCAAAGTCCCAACCCTGATTTTAGTGTGGATCCCAAAACTTACGTGCTCCTCTGAGGCTAAACCGCAATAAAGTGAAATAAGTGTAGACAATACAAAACAAGAAAATACGGCTTCACTGGTGGCGCAGTGGTTGAGAATCCGCCTGCCGATACAAGGGACACGGGTTCGTACCCCAGTTCGGGGAGATCCCACATGCCGCGGAGCGGCTGGGTCTGTAAGCCATGGCCTCTGAGCCTGCGCGTCCGGAGCCTGTGCTCCAGCAACGGGAGAAGCCGCGGTCGTGAGAGGCCCGCGTACCGCAAAAAAAAAAAAAAAAAAAAGCAAACCAAAAGATGACAGAACTGCAGGAAAAACAAATACACCATCACAAAAGTGGATTTCAATATACACCTTTTAAAGTGTTTTGACTAACACAACATTGTAAATCAACTATACTTCAATTTTTAAAAAAATGTAGAGAGGGCTTCCCTGGTGGCGCAGTGGTTAAGAATCTGCTGTCAACACAGGGAACACAGGTTCGAGCCCTGGTCCGGGAAAATGCCACATGCTGCGGAGCAACTAAGCCCGTGCGCCACAACTACTGAGCCCATGCACCACCACTACTGAAGCCTGTGTGCCTAGAGCCTGTGCTTTGCAACAAGAGAAGCCACCTCAATGAGAAGCCCGCACACCGCAACAAAGAGTAGCCCCCACTCGCTGCAACTAGAGAAAGCCCGCGTGCAACAACGAAGACCCAATGCAGCCAAAAATAAATAAATGTATTTTTTTTTAAAAAGAAGGAAATGTAGGGAATTCCCTGGCAGTCCAGTGGAGGTACTTTCACTGTAGGGGCCCAGGGTTCAATCCCTGGTCAAGGTACTAAGATCCTGCAAGCTGCGTGGTATGACACCCCCCCCCAAAAAAATAAAAAGTAAATGTATAGTCTTAAATGCTTAAAATATTGTTTTAAAGGCAGTAATTTCATGACCTAACAAGACTTCAACTTGAGTTAGAAAAGGAAAAACACAACATGACTGAATAAAGCAGAAAGGAGATTACTGAAAGAAGACAGAAATCAACATAAAAGAAAACAAACATACAATAGAAAGGATCAACTGGGTCAAAGGTGGTGTTTTGTTTTTCTGAGGTTTCTTTTTTGGCTGCATTGGGTCTTCGTTGCTGCGTGCAGGCTTTCTCTACTTGAAGCAAGTGGGGGCTACTCTTTGTTACGGTTCACAGGCTTCTCATTGTGGTGGCTTCTCTTGTTGCGGAGCATGGGCTCTAGGGCTCTAGGTGCACAGGCTTCAGTAGTTGTGGCATGCCAGCTCAGTAGTTGTGGCTCACAGGCTTAGTTGCTCCACGGCATGTGGGATCTTCCCGGACCAGGGATCGAACTGTGTCCCCTGCATTGGTGGGTGGATTCTCAACCATTGCGCCACCAGGGAAGCCCCAAAAGGTGGTTTTTTGAAGAGACTAACAACAGACAAACTTCTGGTGAAACTGATGGAAAAAAAAAAGAGAGATAGCACAAAGTAGAGAATAAAATGGGAGTGTAACCACAGAGAGAGAAGAAATTAAAAACTAAGAGAACACTATGAACTTTATGCCACTATATTTGAAACCTTGTATAAAATGGAAAATTCCTGGAAAAATATAATATTAAAATGGACACAATAAAGTCAGAACTGCCATGTAATTGTTAAATAAACTAAAAGAGTAATTTAAAATCTTTCTCAGGCCCCTTGCAGCAGTTTGTGTGATGGCTGAAAAAGCATCTGAACTGCAGGAAGAGAATGATGATGGCCAGCAGGTTCATGTAGTACCTAGGAGAGACCTTGACAGTCCACAGGAGCAGGTAGGCAGAGGCAGCCAGCGTTGGTCCAACCTTCTCACAGTGGGGTCTTGCTGCAGCTCTAGGAAGAGGGGAAAGAAGGCCCCCAGAGAGGAGGAGACTGCTGCTCACGGAAAAAACAAATAAAACACTAAGATACACTTAATAAAATTAAGCTCTAACTCTAAATATTACAATGTATGTGAAAGTACAAAGGAAAAAAACACACACTTGTATGCTAGGGAAAATTCTATTTTGCTTTCTCTAAATTTTAATTTTTCTCAAGAGTCAAAAGGCTGTTATTGTGCTTCATTTTAAGAACAGCAAGTCAGAAATGTCAAAAATTTAAAGTGTCATCCATCTTGGGGCAAAAACCAGACTTATGCTATCAGTCTTTAAAAGCCTTAAGCCTGGGATTTCCCCGGTGGCTCAGTGGATAAGACTAAGAAGTCTGCCTGCTGCAACTGAAAAAAAAAGAAAAAGTAAAAGAAAAAAAAAAGATCCTGCGTGTTGCAACTAAGAGCCAGCGCAGCCAAAATTAAAAAAAAAAAAAAAATGTTGCTCTCCATCTGGCTCTACAATGATTAGGTGACCAGCCACTGCAGTTGCTGACCTTCAACACACCCTGAAAGAAGTTCAGGGCCAAGATCAGGAATGAGGCCCTCTGTGCTCTGGGAAAACTGGCAGAACAGGCCTTCAGATAGGTAGGCATTTTCATTACAAAACTTTATGAACCCAATTTCTTGCATCTTTTCATACCTAGAAAAGCAGTAAAATAATTAACAGAGACATCTGCCCCTCATGACTAGCAGCAGCCTCTACCAAGATGTATGCTTGATTGCACATTACTCCCCTCACCAAAAGCATATACATAATATATACTGACCCCGCCCCCCAGCCCCGCCCTGTTCCAAAGTTCAGAGCTCACTGACCGGCTGTCTCTCCTGCTGCAGTCCTCAGTAAGCCGCAAACAAAACTGAACTCACAGCTCTCATGTTGTGTGTGTGGTTTGTTGTGTTTTTTTTCAGTTGACATTACCCAGAATATCACCTCAGTATCTGAAGTTTCCCTCTGTCCTCTCCTCCTCTAATAAGTTGGGGTTTTATGCACCAGCATCAAGGTATTAATAAATCTAATTTAAAAATTTTTCCTCAAAGAATGCATCAGGCCCACCTAGTTTTATTGGTGAAAGACTGGTTTTCTACCCAACTTTTTAAAGGAACAGACCATTCTAATCCACAACCCTTTCTGAAAAATATAAAATGATTAAATATTGCCCAATTCATTCTATGAGGCCAACAGCGGCCACGGCCAACGGGCCCAGCTGCTCCGCGGTATATGGGATCCTCCTGGACCAGGGCACAAACCCGTAACCCCTGCATCGGCAGGCGGACTCTCAACCACTGCGCCACCAGGGAAGCCCGAGGCCAATATATTCTTGATAACAAAACTAGACAAGGATAGTAAAATAAAGTGCTGTATAATCCAACTTCACTCATGAACATAGAGCCAAACATTCTAAACAATATCAGCAAATGAAATCCAGCAACATGTTAAAGGATAATAGGCCATGAGCAAATTGGTTTAATCTAGGCATACAAGGATCAGTTATCTTTAGAAAGATAATAGCATTTACCACATTAAAAGATTAAAGGAGAGAAAAAAAGATTAAAGGAGAAAAACTGCATAATCATCACAAGAGATGCAGAAAAAAAACACTTAATAAAATTCAATGCACATTGATGATGTAGATGAAAAATTAATCAATTGACCTGAGAAAGAAATGAAAAATTTTATCCGAGCCAAATTTGAGGACTATAACCCAGGAAGAGCAACTCCGAAAGCTCTGAGAACTGTTCTGCCCATTAGAAGTCAAGGAACAGTTCTTTAAGTTTTTTGAGACAGAGGGCTGTACATCAAATGACATATTATTGACAGTTTACATGATCCAGATCTAAGTGTCATCGTGGTAGGTCATGTGGTCCCATACAAGATCAAGAAAGAATGTTATCTTTTAAGGAGTCCTCTTGTGGGTGCTGGGAGAACGCTGCTGTTTATGGTTGAGCAGGTATTTCTGCAGATCGGGAGGTTTGGTCGACACATAATGCAGATATACAATGCACAGTGGTGGGGAGACAGGAGGCAAAGGGCAGAGAAGAATTTTTTATGATTAAATTTTTCTTGTCTTGCCATAAAATATGAATTTTATTTCACAACAATAAAAAAAAAACTTACGGAATTAGGAATAGAAGGAAACATTTCTAACCTGTTCAAGAGTATCTACAAAAAAAATCCTACAGCAAATGGTCAACTATTGTAAATATTTAAAATCAGGAACAGGACAAAGATGCACACTACTGCTTCTATTTATCAGCTCAGAATGGCAAGAAAAATAAAGACATAAGGATTAAGGGTGAAGAAACAAAATTGTCTTTATTCAGATTATATGATTATATTCCGAGAAAGTTCAAAATAATCCACCAACAAAGTATTAAAAATATTCTTAGAATGGTTGCTGGTTAAAAAAAATATGGAAATCTTTGCACTATTTCGATATGCCAACAATGGAAAATGTAATATTTTTTAAAGACACTTTTTTTTTGACTGCACCTCACGGCTTGTGGGATCTTAGTTCCCCAACAAGGGATCGAACCCGTGCCCCCCGCAATGGAAGCACAGAGTACTAACCACTGGACTGCCAGGGAATGCCCAAGAAAATATTATCAATAGCACTGAAAACCACAAAATGCCATCTAACAAAAGAAATAAAAATCTTACTGTAAGACATCACAGAAGGCCTAAATTAAGTGCAGAGAGAGTCTGAGCCCGTGTTCTTTTTTATTTATTTATTTATAGCTGCAATGGGTCTTTGCTGCTGTGCAAAGGCTTTCTCTAGCTGTGGTGAGCAGGGTTTACTCCTCATTGCGCTTCATTGCAGTGTGTGGGCTTCTCATTGCGGTGGGTTCTCCTGTTGAGGAGCACAGGCTCTAGGTGAGCAGGCTTCAGTAGCTGC